CAACCTATCCAACGCCGTTTACCGCTTGTCGCTACGTTGCGCCGTTTTCGAGATCTCAGGGGGGGTTGTTTTCAACCCCCCCCCCTGCAGTTCGTGTTCGGCTCAGACCCGCTGCAGTGCGCGTGTTAAAATCTCCACATATCAGAACCTGCCCTGAGTACTTGGCACAAAGTGTCTGAAGTGTCTGGCATACCCTTTCATTATATTCACTTATGCTGCCAGGTGGCCGGTAAATGCACGCCAAGTACACAGCTTTCTTACCAATCTTCACCTGACAAACTACTGCCTCTAATGTGTTCCAGGAGTCTTCATATAGTTGGGTAGCGGGCAAATTCTTCTTTATCATTATCAATACTCCACCTCCAAAGCCAGTGTCCCTGTCTTTCCTAAACACATTATAGTTTGTACAATCAATAAACTGGGCTGTGACACACTCTGCTGACAGTTTTGTTTCTGTTATCAGTACCACATCTGCATTGGCCTGTTCTACAATTAAACTGAACTCACTTCCCTTTACAGCATTCAGCCCATCAACATTGGTATAAACGCTTGTCAATGCGTGATTCACTCGGTCCCTTGAAACGTTATCAGTTTGCTTGCTTTCTTCCATTTTCTTACTGTCCTCATGAGCTTCCTCTTTACTGCTCCCGTGGGATGACTTTCCCACGAAAGATCCTGTGCGTCTCCCTTCCTTTCATCCTCAGCTCTACCCTGAGTTTATGTTGCTTCTCTCTCTCATCCTTGGTAAGGTCCCTGTTCACATATACATTTGCGAACCCAGCATTTCGAAGCCTCAGCCTCTCATCAAACAGCTTATTGGCCTCTTCCCTGGATTCAAACTTAACCAGCATCAGTCTTGGTTTATCTCTCACTGTCTGGTCTTCACTCTGCTTTCCCCTCAGTCGAATGACTCCCGTTATTTTGAGTTTCACATCCTCACCACACACTGCTTTGGCGATTTCCATAACCTTCTGCCTGTCTGCTTGGGACGCTCAAGCACGACACCTCGCATGACACATTGTTATTGTTTTGCACTGAAGTCTGTAATGTTTTGTTATTGTTTTATTGCAAGGCCATCTATAGATTTTATTGTTTGTTTTATTGCATTATAGGCCTGGTTTCAGGGTGTTTTGCCTATTTCCACGCGGCCCTATCTGAGAAGTGTTCTGTGCAAGACCGTATAAGAGATTCTGTGTAAGATTACATAAATCACAAAAACTTGAACTCTGAAAAATTGTGAAATTGATATTGATCAGGGGGATGTCGTCCCGGTTCTTCCCATGTATTATTCGCCAATCAGCTTAACACTACCGGTGACGTCACTGGAGGACCGCCAATCGGGGCCGGCTGGCCGGCCGGGCCCGTAGAAGGCCAAACGCAGACGTTTTCAAAAAAGCGCAAGCCGTATAGATTCAGTGGTGGATGGATTTTTGCTGTGATTCGGCTCTCCAAGAGTGCGTCAGGGTACCAGGACTTGGCCAAAGGTCATGTGAACCGGCATCTGATAAAATCCGCTCACCACTTAGCCGCCGACTTCGACCCTTCACCCCCGTAAAACACAAAAGCTTGCCGGTCATCAATCCACCTGCATCTCTGCATCTGCTTACTACCTATATCGACTAGTTACTGCAGCCGTTTTGGAGCGGCTCACGGCCGGTAACACACCGGGCGTGCGCTAGCCGCCGGTGCTAAGCGCTAACCACTGAGTGCGCGTGGCCGACTGCCGCCCCGATGGCGCTGGCCCCCGGCACCGGCGTGGCGCTGCTGAGTGCTGACCCATGGAGGGGGGGGGCTGTTAATTAGTTGAGCCGGAATTGGGATAGAAGCCGGTATGGGATTGGGATAGAAACTCAGCGAGACTAAGGGATTGCGTGGTGCCTTCGGTAGGCCCCCCTCAAAATCACCCGTGTAGGGCCCTCAGGGCCGCCGCTTATGAAACCTTTGGAGGCACTGGTGTGGGCCCTCACAGGTACCGGTGTGAGGCTCTCAGAGGCATTGGTGCGGGGCCCCCAGAGGTGCCGCTGTGGGCGCTCAGAGGCGCCGGTGAGGGTCCTCACAGTTGCCGTCGTGGGCCCTTAGAGACACTGCAGTGTGGGGCTGTCACAGTCGGGTGTGGGACCCTTAGAGCTGCTGGCTCGAACCCTTTACAGGCCGACAGGGGCTCTCAGAGACCGACAAGGGGCTCTCTAGAGGTCTGCGGTGCCTTCGGGAGCCCTGTGGAGTCCTTAGAGACCAGCAAGGTACGCTCAAACGCCAGTGGGGCCCTCAGAGTCGTCGGCGTGGGGCCCTCAAAAGTCACCGGTGAGTGGCCGTCCGATGCGCAGGTCCCGACAGAGGCCGTCAGAGCCCGCAGAGGCTCCGGCGTTGAGCCCCCAGAGCCGCCGATATATGGCCTTAAGAAGCACTGGTTTCGGGACCTCATTCAGGGGTGCCGGTTGCACTCATAGGTGGCGGTGTGGGGCCCTCAGCTAGGCACCGGTGTGGGGCCTTCACAGCCGCCGGTGAGGGCCCTCGCAGGCGCCGTTGTGGGGGCCTTCAGCCATTGGTTTAGACAGTCATTGCAGGCGTGTGTGGAACCCTTAGAGCTGCTGGTCCCTGATAGGCCGGTAAAGGCCCTTAGAGGCCGGCAAGTAGCCCTCAGAGGTCGCCAATAGGCCCCGAGAAGCCGGCAAGGGGCCCTCAAAGGCCGACAAGGGACACTAAAAAGCCGGTGTGGGGCTCTTAAGGAAAGAAGTATGGCGCTTCGGAGCACATAAGGTGTTCTTCCGAGCCCTGTGGGGCCCTTCTGAGTCGAAAGATGCCAGCGTGGACCCTCAGCCGCCAATTGGCGTCGCAAGGCCCCTCGGGCCCGAGAGGCCCCCTGATCCGATGGGGGCACGTGCCCCCTGCTCCCCCCCCCCCCGGGTGCAGATAGAGAATGCAATCGGCGGTGCGGGACACAACAATTGCAATAGTTCCTTCTGCCGTCGCGAGGTCGCCCATCCGACCTATATCCCATGATTGTCAACCCTGGGGCTCGGGTCGGCAATGTACCGGCAAGGAAATCATCTTTAGGAGAGAAAAAACTTATAAAGAGTCATTAGTTGTCGTTACGTTCAGTAATCACAACTATACGGTGCCAAATGTACCCGACGTACAGCTTGGAGCCGGCAGAATTGGCTCCGAAACATCGGCGGCGAGTGCGCCGGCGGCCGCCGCACCGGCTTGCGTGCTAAAAACGCGGTAATGGAGGGCGAAATTAGCGAACTCTAGCTCATAAGACACGATTTCAGAGACTTCACACATATTTTTAGTCCTTTCTGTACGAAATAGTTAATAGCTTGAGCTCAAGCTTGAACTTTCACCCATTTCACCGACAATCTGAAGTGATAACCAATATCTTGGATTTTGCTGTTCATTTCTTGCCCTGCAAATAAGCTAGGTATGACTTTCCAGGACATGCTATGTTTTATATTTGTCAGAAAACGGTTCAACTAAAATTTACTCAAAATTGGACACTTCTGAAGGGAGCAATTGCTCTCCCCTGGATCTACCAGTTCCATTTTGCAACCTTGATGCACTGTTACCAAATACAAGATGTTCTAGTTTGTTGGAAAGATATATTTTTCATTATCCTTAGATATGCTGCTTATGCTTCCACATGCATATATTGTTTTATAAGATCAGGTTGAGGAAAATTAATGTAAGAATTATTCAGTCATGACACATAATTGGTGCCATTACCTACCAAATTTTTATATAAATTTTTAGTTGCCTAGGTACCTACCTTTATCAGAATGTTATGTTATGAATGTTATGAAAAACTGTAGAAGCAAAGAAAAACAATTATGATTCAAATTCTGTTCATATAGCCTGTGGTGTACATAAATCAGGGATATCAAGTTTTCATCTATGAATATTTGTTTTTAACCCTCGCCCTGGCAGGGGGGGTCGATGCGACCCCCCTAAGGTTTTTCGAAGATAGCGTAAAAACGGTGGCGCGCAGCAGCCGCCAAATTTGGCACAGCCTATGGGGCAACCTTTTTACATATGACCTGAAAATTTCAGGTCCAGGTGACCTTGGGTCAGGTCACCAGGTCAGAAAAACCGGTACAAGGTCATGGTCAAATTTCAATTTTCTTTTTGCACCTGTCCAACTCACAGTTTTGGACTGCTTTCCTTCAAACTTTCAGGATGTGCTAAGTTCACCGAGTTGTATAACATATAGTTCGGGTTTTTTGAGGTCACTGACCTGAGGTCAGTTAGAGGTCATTACGTCGTAATGTTAAGCCTATGGGAAAATACTAAATTCGGAAAATACTGGAGATATCCGCTTCGTTCTATCACTTTTGTGCTTTGAAACCACAGTACTTAACAGCAGGTCACTTTGTGCTTCTTTGTTTGGTGTACTTATCCATGGGTCAGGTCAAATGAGGTCAACTGAGGTCAAATGACGTTTTTGTCAATAACTTGGCACATAATGACGCTAGAGCTTAAAAATGGTATCATTGTGTTCCTGGTGATCAGCCGAATCGAATGATATGCGATATGATGCAATTTGCTTAACTTGAACTTAATTCATTAATTTAAGTTTACTTAGAATTTAAGAAAAACTTTAAGTACACTTAAGCAAGCTGAAAAGTATATCATTCGACGCGCCTTGACGTGCTGAGTTCAGTGGTGCTTTTCGTTTTGCTCTATCTTAATTAGATCAAAAGTTATAAGCGAAAAACTTTTTACCTGTTTTTAGCAAAATTTTTACATTTATACCCCCCAAAACCCCCCTAAATATTGACTTAGAGCAACCAAATTTGCACAGGGGCGAGAACTCCAGGGGGCCCACCTACCTAACAAATTTGGTGTTTCTAGGTGCCATAGGAGCCAATCGCAAGGGGGGGTCGCATCGACCCCCCCCCCCCCCCCTGCCAGGCCGTGTTATCAAAAATGCCCTGCCAGGGCGAGGGTTAAGGCAATTCAGTAGGCTTTGTATTTTACACCATAAATTGACTTATGTCCACAGGAATCTGTCATCGTCATGTCATCATCAATTCTACTGGCTGCTAGCAGTGGCACCCTAGACATGTACAGGAAAATGAGCATGCTTCAATTAGAGCCCCTGCAAGACTTCATAATAGGACATGCTGAAACAAAGTATAAGGTGGGTTTTGAACACTGATATATTGTGTTGCTCAAGTCTAAAGCTGCAAATAAAGATGTTCATTTGTATTGGCCACATTTATTGATGAATGACTTTGAAAGGTATGCAGTAGTTACCTATCAACTTGTCAACAGCTATGGTTTTCATACCACCTTTTTATCACTTCAAACTTCCTGAATGAGGCATTTTATTCCATATCATTGTGAGAAGTTTCAAGCTCCTGTTATCCATTTCCAGTCTTTGCAGGGTATTGTGTCATCCTAGGGCCTAGATGATTTTGCATATTCTGTGGGTTACTAATGGCTGCATAACAGGTCAATTGTGGTCAAATCAAGGCCTTAAGTCTGCTATTTTTTAGCCAGTTAGGTACCTAATGCTTTCAAAGCAAGGTAAATATATGATTGAAAGTAGTACCGATTTACGTTACACCAGAATCATTGTGTTTGCCTCTGTTGGTATTTGAGTGGTCAGATGCTGTTACAGATTCTCGCCTCGACGGCCAGAAGCCGCCCCCCCCCCCCCCCCCGACAGGCTCCGCGCGCCGGACTGAGCCCGACTGCGGGTACCCCATGCAGGGCTGAGATCAGGGGTGGTGCTGTTGGCGCGTTTCCCGCAGGCGCGCCGGCATCATCGGTCACGCCTCTGGCGGTGGTGTCGCCGGCGATGCCCGCGTCATTGACGACGTCGGCGGTCCTCCGGTCGTGGCCGCGGTCCGGTCCGGCGCCAGCGGAGGTGCAGTGGTTAGGCGTGGAACACGGGCGCCACGCCGGTCGGACGAGCGTTTGGTCGGCGTCTTTCCGTGCCAAGTCGCTTTCCGTCGGGGCATTGCTAGGCTGGGGCCGGAGATGCCAAAACGGTAGCACTCGTCCGCTCTCCAAACGGACGAGGTACCGCCGGTGTGGCTGTTTCTCCACGACGACTCCATGCTTGTCCTGTTGTAGCTCGTGCTGAGACTGGCTCCGGATCACTCTAGAATCAGCGTTAAATTCAAGTGGACTGTATATTAAAATGGGTATAAATTGAAAATAATACAAGTGAATAGCAAAAACAGTGTGATTAAATTGTTCAAAAGATTGGCACACAAATAGGGCATAAAAAAGATACTGAGAGCTCGTCGAGGCCAGCGTGCAATAGGTCGGCCTTTAGGCTGGCCTAACTGGCCGAGAGACTCCTTTTTGGGGGTGCAAAAGACGGCTTATGCCGAACTTTCCCCAAAGGGCCAGGGTGCGGAAAGGCAGCCGTGTACGCTGACCTTTCCTGGCCCAGACGACTCTGTGTAGCTCTCCGTGTTACCGTCCTACCCTCAACTCAAGCCCAATAGCCGAGCCACCCGGCCGGCTCCGCTGCACCGAATCGACTGACCCTCTCCCGCCGTGACCCCAACACAGGTCAACTCGGCGGCGGGAAGGGTCACGTGACCAATCGCGCGACCACACGTTGGCTCCCGAGCCGCGCGCGGCTGGGCCGGCCGGTACAGGTGTACCCTGACATGCCCACACAGTGGGCTAGGAGTGGACAGTGCGTTTCCCAGCATGTCCCACCGACTGGTCCTGGGGCCCACACGGCCACCTGGGAACCGGTGTGCAGATCCGGCAGGGCCCGTGCGCGCTGCCTTCGCGCATGCTCGATCTTCAGATAAGCCGCAGCAGCGTCCAGCATGCTTCGCTTCAGCAGCGTGCAGCATGCTTCGCCAAAAAGCGGCGAACAGCCTGCGGTGAGCTGGAATGGCGTCCTGTACCGGTCGGCCACAGACTAACTGGGCCGGTCCTGTCAGGCACGGCGTGTTCCGCAGCTGCAAAATTTCCCGATTCTTGATTCAGCATCTAGATGGATGTTGGATCCTCCTCTGAATGAGCAATAAGATCCCATTGGAGGGAAGACTAGAAAAAGCAATGCTTTGGCTTTTTGACGGCCGCATTTGTCCTCCCGTTTGACTGGGTGTAGCCTGGTTGAGGTCCTCTTTGTTTCGACTTTTCCATTGTTTCAGGAACGTCTGGAACGGCGAAGAGGTGGGCTGTGGGCCCCCGTCGGAGCAGATGACGTGCGGCACTCCAACGCGGCAGAAGATATCGCGTATGGCCGATATCAGCAGATCGGCCGGGGCGCTCACACCGAGGTCGGCGACAAACAGTCACCCGGAGTATCTGTCCACGGCCACGATGTGCTCTCTGCCGGCGTGATCGACAAAGTCCACGTGTAGCTCCTGGAACGGCCTCTCCGCTGGCGGCCTCCTCGTCATGATCTACTGCTAGGCGGGCAGCTCCTCTGGCAGCTGGTACAGCAGCGAGTGCTGATTTCCATATCACGGTCGATTCCTGGCCAGTAGGCGATCTGTTTCGCGCGGGCCTTGGCTTTCTCCTTTTCAAGATTGGTGGTATGAAGGGCTTCGAGAACAGTCCTCCGCAATCGCTTGGCATGACGAGCCTGGAGCCGCAAACGACGAGTTGATCATCCAGGGAGAGGCAGTGGCGGGCCGGCCAATACTGGCGGATCAGGTCCGACGTGAGAGACTTGGTCACAAGGAAGCCGTGCTGAACGGTCGTGAGAAGCAGCTGCGTCTCGGGGTCCTCAGTCACTGCCTGCCTCAGCGCTTCAGGACGGGAGGGCCGTCTTCGTGGCAGCGACGTCTCTGCCGATGATGCCAGACGTAGGAGGCGTGTCGAACCTACAGACTCATTTTACACTCATAGATTCTCTTATAGATTAACTGCTGGTGCATTCCACATAACTTTATATTGCAAATGTTAGGACTCTCTGTGTGCTTTGCCAGTCGTTTCGTTAACATCTGACGAACAGTTTTTTGTTGTTGACCGACTGTTCTTTCTGTTGTCAGGGTGCATTAGTGAAGAAACTTATGGATCATCCTGTATTCCATGAAAGTGTTGATGGTGCCAGCTTGGAGGAAGAGAGACGTCTGGTTATGAGACAAATCACGGCCTTAGTGGAGATGGAGTTTTCTGAAAAGGGCGTGGATAAAGAATTATATAAGGTAAGCTAGCTGAGAGCTAATAATGACGTCACCATCCAGAGCCAGTGTGCATTACTGGCATGCATGTCGTGTTATGCCCGTCATGGCCCGTCATGGCCTTTCGTCCCTGAGCCAGCTGCCTCTCGGCTGGTCTTATGCTCAGCAGCGCGTGCACACTGCGCTCGATAGCCGTAGGGGGAGCCTGGCACGTCCCACTGGTACCCAGCGTGACGCCGTCGCACCGGCAGGGCATGGCCGAGGCGGAGGTGCTGGGAATGTACAGCTGGTCGCTGCAGTGCAAGTACTCGCTGATGTTCAATTTCCCGGCTATGGCGATAGCCGGGATGGGCACCGAGAGACACCGGCCGCTGCTGCGGGATGTCGTCAACATGAGGGTGAGACTGCTGCGGGACTCGTCAACACGAGGGTGAAACACTGTCCCGGGATCCCGTCAACCTGAGGGTGAGACACTGCCCTGTCGGTTTTGGCACCATTGTCGGCCGGCAGAACCGTGGCACCCGCCGTCTGAATTGCACCGCTGCCTGACTGACTCCCCATGTGTGTTCTCTGTTTTGAACGCGGTAGTCCGCTCTGCACTGGCCGTGTTTAGCTCGGCCGTCAGCCTCCGTGCGGTCCCGGGAGGGTCACCAGAGGCGGCTCCAGGCAGCCCACCGGGGAGGGGTCACGGGCGCACCCAGAGCCGATGTCCGCGGCAGTGTCGCCTGCGCACACACTGACACAGCGCGGCTCCGGCTGTCGACAGACCACCTTCTGTTTCGCGCTGACGGAGCTGTCGCACGGCTCGGACGCACGGCGCATGCGCACCACGGCCACGTTCGACGCGTCCAGCGACCAGTTCGTACTGCACACGCCGGACCGGCGCGCGGCCAAATGCTGGATCGGCGCCCTCGGTAGGTGGCCGAGCGCCGAGCCACCCGGCGCGGTCGGCGGCTGGGATCAGCTGACCGTGCTCTCGTAGTGCTGCTGTTGTCTAATAGTGCTGCAGCTGATAACAAGATATAGCTGTAGTTTATCATAACTTGCTAATGACTATGGTATCTTTAAAGCATGTTGTTATGTTAATCAGTGGACTAGTTAGGTTAGGCATGGCGAGGTTTACCTTGCAAGTTGTTAAGTAATACAAATTGGTCTGGATTGCCTTAAAAAAGGTAGTTAACTCATGCGTTTTACATTTACAGTGTCCATTGAGCTCCTGGTTGATAACAATGCGAAGGCATTGTGGTATCGCGAATTGTCCCCCTCCGCCCGGGAGCTGGCGACGCCACTGGCGGCGCCGGCACGCAGACGCGGCGGCTCGAGAGAGTCGGTCTGGCGCGCGTGTCGGGTGCGGTCGTGCGCCGTGTGCGCCGTGTGCGGTGGTGGTCGCGTCGCGGTCAGCACAGACTAGTGTTCGTGTATGAGCCCAGATTGCCTCAGCAATAAACTTGTCTCCACGAGCCAGCCTGTGTGAGGCAGTGCGGAGTGGAGACGTAATACCTGGCGACAAGGAATTCGAACTCGTTGCGGAGGCCGTGGTTGGGCCGTGGGCGACTCCGAACGCTGTACTGTGCAGTTGTGGACCGCGTGTGGACTGCGACGGAGCCGCGGAGACTGGTAAGCGGCAGTAAACTGCGTGTCCTGCGACTGACGGGGGCGTGGGCTTGTGTTGAGTCCCCCCTGTGTTCAGCGCTGTCCGAGTTTTTGGGTCTCGGCGGCCATTTTCGGACGGGTGCGCTGGTCGAGTGCGCAGGCGCGTGGTCACGTGTCTCGGTGACGTCGCGGTCACGTGACTCCCCCGGAGTGGAAAGCGCGGGAAACGCAGCGGCGGTGCCAGAGACGGGCGGCAGGGAGCCCGAGTCAGCTGTGTGCTGACTGCTGAGTGACCTTGGCCGGCGCCAGCTGACGGTTCAGTCGCGCGGTGGCGGCCGCGGCGTGAGAAGACCGGAGCGGGCGGGGAGTGGAGCCGGACCTCGGACGAAATGGCGGCGGCTGGCTTGAGTCTGCCGGCGGTGGGGCCGTACCAGCCGGGGACGGATTTTCCTCGGTGGCTCAATAGCGTGGAGCTGTACATGGCGGCCCTGGACGTCACTGGGGACGAGAGGAAGACGGCGATTCTGTTGCACCTGCTCGGACCCGAAGTGCAGGAGGTGTACGGCACGCTCCCGGAGCCGACAACTGGAGTGACCGGCTGCTATGCGACGTGTGTAGCTAAACTCCGAAGCTACCTGGCGCCGCAGCGCAACGTCATCGCTGATCGACTCGCGTTTCAGCGGTTGCGCATGGTGGAAGGCGAGCTGTTTGACGCGTTCCTGTCCCGTCTGCGCCTCGCGGCAGCTCGGTGCCAGTTCCCGCCCGAGCAGGCCAGCGCGGCCCTGCGGGACCAGGCCATCGCGGGCTGCACGCCTCGCCTGCAAGAGCGAGTGCTGCAGCGGGCCGTGGAGGCGCAGGAGCCGCTCAGCCTCCAAGACGTCGTCAACATAGTCCACAATGTGGAGCGGACGGACGGCCTGCTCCGTGAGGTGCGGCAGGACGGCCAGCTGGCCGTACCTCAGGAGGAGCAGCAGGTGCAGGCGCTCGGACAACCCAGCCGAGGGGAGCAGCGCTGTTTCCAGTGTGGCGAGCTGGGCCACTGGAGGGACCACTGTCCCAGCGCGCAGTCGCAGCAGGCCGGTGCGCGGCCCCGGCAGGCTGGTGCGCGGCCACGGCGGGCCGGCGCGCCGCGCTGCTACCGGTGTGGAGAGCGCGGACACCTGCAACGGGACTGCAGCAAACGACGGGCTGTCAAGTTGATCCAGGACAGCGACCAGGCCGACTGGCAGGTCTGCGCCGTGCATCTGGCGGCAGGAGCGGCGCAGAAGAGCGGATTCTTCCGACAGCCCGGCTCAGCAAACGGCGGTCGGCTGGACAGCCGACGCGGCGGACCGCGCCGGAGGGGCGGAACGCGCCGGTGCTTCAGGTGCGGCGACTCAGGGCACTTGAAGCGTGACTGCCCCGGATGCGGTCAGGTGACGTCTGTGGACGCCGTGACGTCCGTGGCGCAGCGGAGGACACAGCGTCAGGACCGGCTGCCACTGGTCACGGTGACAGTCAACGGCCGGCCAACAGAGATGATGGCAGACACCGGGTCGCCAGTCTCGATCGTGGCGGACGGCAGCATCCCGGGGCTGAAGCTGCGACCATCAACGGTGCAGCTGCGCTCGTTTACGGGCCAGACGGTGCCGGTCCGCGGCGAGGCGACCGTAGAGGCGGAGTTCGGCGGCCAGCGGAGGCGGCTGAATGTCGTAGTCAGCGACCGACTCGGACACCAACCGCTGATAGGACGGGACTGGTTGCGCGACATGCGCCTCGACTGGCGGTCGCTGCTTCAGGGCAGCGAGGACCGTGAAGTGAGCGGCGCAGACGGAGTCAGAGGGCGCCGTGACACTAAAGGAGCCGGTGGGCGCCGGGATGCTGATGCCGATGGAGCCGGCGGGCGCCGGGATGCCGATGGAGCCGGTGGGCGCCGGGGCGCCGGCGGAGGGAGCGGATACCGGTACGCCGGCGGGAGCAGCGGGCGCCGGGACGTCGGCGGAGGCGGCGGCGACGGGCGGCCCGTCGGAGACGCTCGTGCCAGAAGCTTCGGTGGCGGAGACCGGATCGGCAGTGTCAGAGCGGCGACCGTCGGTGACGTCCGAGCAGGGTTCATCGACGGCTTCACCAGCGGCGGCGTCCGACGGCCCGTCGGCGATGATCGCGCTGATGGCCGCGGTGACGGCGGCCGCGCCGGCAGTGCCAGCGACCTCATCGGAGGGTGTATCAGTGGCGTGGACCTCAGTGGAGGTCGTGTCGGTGCCGGTGACAGCGGAGGTGACCTCAGTGGTGCACTCGGTGACGGCGGCGACGTCAGCCACGCCGATAACCTCGGTGACGGTCAGGCCGGTGACCCCAGCGGGGGCGGCGGTCAGACGAGTGACCTGGGAGGAGCCGGCTGCGCCGGTGGCCTCATTGATGCCCTGGGTGACCGCGGTGGCGGCGGCGCTAGCGACGCCGGTGACCCCGGCGGCGGCGGCGGCGGCGGCGGCTGCGCCGGTGAGGTCAGTGCAGTGGGGCCTCTTGAACGTGAGCGCGGCGCGCACACTGGGCGCTCCGCAGTGCCGTTCCGCCCGGCGTCGGAGGCACCCGAGGCGGCTTATCGGCGTCTGATCGCCGATATTTGAAATGTGATTGGATCTGTGATTGTGATTGTGATTGTGATTGAAAGGTGATTGTTTCACGTAAAGGGGTGAGGTAACCCTGAAGGCGCGCGCCTAAACAAATGATGCTTTGTGCTCATGCCATTGTTTCGTGCGCCTGGGAATATGTTCGTTTAAAGGGCGGCAGGGTGTGGTATCGCGAATTGTCCCCCTCCGCCCGGGAGCTGGCGACGCCACTGGCGGCGCCGGCACGCAGACGCGGCGGCTCGAGAGAGTCGGTCTGGCGCGCGTGTCGGGTGCGGTCGTGCGCCGTGTGCGCCGTGTGCGGTGGTCGTCGCGTCGCGGTCAGCACAGACTAGTGTTCGTGTATGAGCCCAGATTGCCTCAGCAATAAACTTGTCTCCACGAGCCAGCCTGTGTGAGGCAGTGCGGAGTGGAGACGTAATAGGCATTGCTATTGTATAGCGCAGTGAATAGATATGCCCTATGATTGCGCGCTGCGGTGGTTTGACTGTGGCAGTTTCCGTCTGTGACTGTAACTGCCTGCCTGGTCCTGACCGCGCCGCGTGCGTATCGCCAGCCAAGACGAGCTGGAACGCGGTGGTGTTTGCTCAGCTGGTGACGCCGGATGGCGCCTGTCACGGTCTGCACGCGTTCGTGGTGCCCGTGCGCGAACCGCGCTCCCACCGCACCTTCCCCGGCTGCACGGTCGGCGACATGGGCGTCAAACTGGGACTCAACGGCATGGACAACGGGTGAGAGACGCGCTGACCACGCTGAGACGCGCTGACCGGGGCTGGTGAGACGCGCTGTCCGGGGCTGGTGAGACTTATCAACGGGGGGGGGGGGTTGCTCCAGCATGAGTGGGCGAGACGGGCGTGCTGGAGCTTTGGATGGAGGACAAAGCTTTGAGTTCGTGTGAGCATCCAAAACCATTACGTTTTCTGGAAGGTATACGTTGGGCTTTTCTTTCGCTTGGTAGCTATGATGGCTCGTGACACTGTCTAGCCGTTGTAAATAGGAAAGTTCCTTTTATTGAATGTCCTCACCCCATCCTACTCATGATCAGTCCGCCACCCTCTGTCAGGGCTGCCCAATTCCACCACCCTCAGTCAGCGCTGCCCGGTCCCACCACCCTCTGTCAGCGCTGCCCGGTCCCACCACTCTCTGTCAGCGCTGCCCGGCCCCACCGCCCTCAGTCAGCGCTGCCCGGTCCCACCACTCTCTGTCAGCGCTGCCCGGTCCCACCACTCTCTGTCAGCGCTGCCCGGTCCCACCACTCTCTGTCAGCGCTGCCCGGTCCCACCACTCCCTGTCAGCGCTGCCCGGTCCCACCGCCCTCTGTCAGCGCTGCCCGACCCCAACCCCCTCTGTCAGCGCTGCCTGGTCCCACCACTCTCTGTCAGCGCTGCTCGGCTCCACCACCCTCAGTCAGCGCTGCCCAATTCCACCGCCCTCTGTCAGCGCTGCCCGGTCCCACCACTCTCTGTCAGCGCTGCCCGGTCCCACCACTCTCTGTCAGCGCTGCCCGGTCCCACCGCCCTCTGTCAGCGCTGCCCGACCCCAACACCCTCTGTCAGCGCTGCCCGGTCCCACCACTCTCTGTCAGCGCTGCTCGGCTCCACCACCCTCAGTCAGCGCTGCCCAATTCCACCGCCCTCTGTCAGCGCTGCCCGGCCCCACCACCCTCTGTCAGCGCTGCCCGGCCCCACCACCCTCTGTCAGCGCTGCCCGGTCCCACCACTCTCTGTCAGCGCTGCCCGGTCCCATCACCCTCTGTCAGCGCTGCCCGGTCCCACCACCCTCTGTCAGCGCTGCCCGGTCCCACCACTCTCTGTCAGCGCTTCCCGGTCCCACCACTCTGTCAGCGCTGCCCGGTCCCACCACTCTCTGTCAGCGCTGCTCGGCCCCACCGCCCTCCGTCAGCGCTGCCCGGTCCCACCACTCTCTGTCAGCGCTGCGCGGTCTCCACCACCCTCTGTCAGCGCTGCCCGGTCCCACCACCCTCAGTCAGCGCTGCCCGGTCCCACCACTCTCTGTCAGCGCTGCGCGGTCTCCACCACCCTCTGTCAGCGCTGCCCGGTCCCACCACCCTCAGTCAGCGCTGCCCGGTCCCACCACCCTCTGTCAGCGCTGCCGGGCCCCACCACTCTCTGTCAGCGCTGCGCGGTCCCACCACCACTCTGTCAGCGCTGCGCGGTCCCAGCGTCCGCAGTCTGACTGACAGTGCTGCTCCCCGTGCAGGTTTGTCATGTTCGACCATTACCGGATTCCGCGCGAGGCGCTGCTCAACAAGAACGGTGACGTTACGCCCGACGGCCAGTACGTGTCCCCCATCAAGGACGACAACCTCCGCTTCGGTGAGCGCCGGGGCGACTTCCCGGGACCGGCGGCCCTCGCTGAGCGCCGGGACGCCTCACCGTGACTTCCCCGGCGCTACGGGCGTTACGAGAGCACATGCCTCATCGGCAGCTCGCACCGCTAGTTCGTCTCAGGAGGAGGGGGGGGGGGTCTCCGGAGCAGTCTCGTGCCTCTAGATTATCCCACTAGCGTACTTTTGAATGTTTTGATTATCAGTGTGTTCAAGTTTTGATGCGTCAGCTGATAATTAAAACAGGATGCCTCATCGTTGTTGCGACCGAAAGTGATCCCTGCTCGTTTCGCTGTGTGGTGTTGGCCGTCGCTAGTATGCGGGTCTGGTACCGCGGCGAGTCGAACTGCTGTCCCGCCTGTGCGGCGCGGAGGCGTGCCAGTGACCGCCGCCCCGGGCGCTGCGCGCAGCCGCCTCCCTGGGCGCGCTGTCCGGCGGCCGCGTCGGCATCACGCACATGGCGCAGCTGAACATGCGGAAGGCACTGACGATCGCGCTGCGCTACTGCGCCGCCCGGCGCCAGTTCGGCGACGGTGACCAGGAGACGCCCGTCATCGAGTACCCGCTGCTGGTGAGGGGCGCGGATGGCAGGCCGCTCCGGGGGGTCGGCCAGGGCAGGGTGGGAGGACCCGCTGCTGGTGAGGGGCGCGGATGGCAGGCCGCTCCGGGGGGTCGGCCAGGGCAGGGTGGGAGGACCCGCTGCTGGTGAGGGGCGCGACTGACAGGCCGCTCCGGGGGGGGGGGGCGGGGCAGGGTGGGAGGATCCGCTGCTGGTGAGGGGCGCGGCTGACAGACCGCTCGGGGGGGGGGGGAGGAGATCGGCCGGAGCAGGGTGGGAGGACCCGCTGCTGGTGAGGGGCGCAGATGGCAGCCGCTCGGGGGGACCGGCCGGGGCAGGGTGGGAGGACCCGCTGCTGGTGAGGGGCGCGGATGGCAGGTCGCTCCGGGGGACCGGCCGGGGCAGGGTGGGAGGACCCGCTGCTGGTGAGGGGCGCGGATGGCAGGCCGCTCCGGGGGTCGGCCAGGACAGGGTAGGAGGGGGAGGGAGGGGCGCGGCCGGCAGACATCTCAGGGGGACCGGCTAGGTCAGGTTGACAGAGGGAGGGGGCGCGCGGCCGGCAGGCCGGCCTCTGTCGGTGAGAGGCACTCCGGGCAGCGGGGGAAGGGAGGCGCCGTAAATCCGTGGTGATGTGCCGGCAGCAAATATACCATCTGTTCCCGTGCGTCCACTCCTATGTCATTGGGCTCACGACTGGTGGTGTGTCGGCAGCAATACCGTCTGTTCCCGTATCTGGCCGCCACTTACGTCTGGTACCATCTGGCCGTCTACATCAACATCGTATTCGGAGAGTTCATCAAACGCAAAATGTCGGGAGATAACGCTGCAGAAATGGTGAGTTGTGCTGATAGGCCACTGCGCTACTGTGCGTGGAATGGTGAACAATGGTGATACCAAGGATTAGTTATCTTCTGTCACCTGTGGCCGTATTCACAATCACGGGTTAACCCGCGCCCTGCTGGGGGGGTGTTTGAACACCCCCCCCCCTTGTGGTTTTTCGCGAATATCTCAAAAACGGCGGCGCGGAGCGCCGCCGTTTTTGGTACACCTTATCATACATCAATTCTACACATGTTGTGAAAATTTCAGACCAAGGTCATTCAAGGTCAGGTCACCAGGTCACTTGAAGTGACCTCACCTCATAAAAAGTTTCAACGTCTGTCATAGCTACACCGAGTGACCGATCGCTTTGAAACTTTCAGCGATTGCTAAGAGCAATAGCATGTACAAAATGTATATCTCAGAATTTTGATATCGATGACCTAAGGTCAGGTCAATTTTGCGACCTCCCCATTATAAGTCAATGGGAGAAAATTGAAATGCGCCTCTTTTGGACGAAAGACATTATAAACACTCCCAAACACTGAATTACAAGTGGTTTAGACACACTGAACATGAAAATGGTGTCCGTGACCCCTGTTTATGCCCTGAGGTCATCTTAGGTCACGAATGGTATCTAACAGTTTTTCGCAAATAACTTTTGATAGAGGCATGCTAGAGCGATGAAAACGCCTTAGATGTGTTCAGCTCGACGATACGGATCGACTGATATGCAACATGACCCTTTCCGGTCAGGTCATGACCTTGACCTGAGGTCAAATTTTCAAATTGACCTTTCAAGGTCAAGTTATAGTTCATTCGATGCGTCTTGACGAGAGGAACACGATGACGGTAAAAGTAAGCTCGTACAAGGCTTGGGTCAAAAGTTATTGCAGAAAAACTGTTTCCGAAAAAATCGGCTATTTTTGCAGTTTTTGCCCCCTGCAGGCAAAACCGTTGACGTTAGGTCAAATCTGAGAGAATTATTCAGAAAGAGCGTTAAAAGGGCTATCGAATGCGCTTTTCCGCGGCGCTGTAGCTCTATTGGTTCCCGAGTTATGCGCTGGCTTCTTGGAAATTGTCGACATTCGACCTGGAAATCGGCGAAATTTTGCCTTCAATGACCTCTGGTGACCTGACCTTTGACCTGACCAAAAAATTGACCGAAGTGATTTCCTCATTATTTTTTACGCTCTTTCGAACGCCGCCTTCCGCGTATCGCTACGTGGCCCAGGAGCCGAGTTAGAAGGGGGGGTGTTCAAACACCCCCCCCCCCCCAGCAGGGCGTGGAAATCCAGGACCCCCAGCCGGGCGCGGGTTAAGGGTAGGGGCAGGAGTAACGGGTAACAGGTTATTTTTGTGGCCGTATTCACAATCGAAGTTTACTCCTGCTGGTCGCCCGGCGCTACGCAGACGACACCACGCAGGCCAGGTGCCGTCTGCGTGGCGTCAGGCGACCATCGGGGGTAAACTTCGATTGTAAATACGGCCACAAAAGTAAACTGTCACCCGTTACTCCTGCCCCTACTCTTAACCCGTGATTGTGAATACGGCCACTGGAGTTGAAGACTGACGAATAAGCCCCCGACTACGCGTCGTATGCTTTTGCATATGGTCTTGGCATGTTGTGTGGTACATACGGTGTAAAACCGCCAACAAAGATGCAATCTTTGAAGTCGTTAGGATGTCATAATCACACATTTGGATCACATCCATGTATGATGTAGTCAAGTTGGCTCACATTATCCCAACAGCCAATTTGCCGCCGTTATGACCCGTTGGCGCTGTCGTTTGATTGAGCTCTTCGGGTGGGGGATATGGGGGATAGAATGAGTAACGTGATAAGGCAATAAGGATGTGTTTCGCCTCGTGATCGTGAGGACGTTTGATCAGAACTGAATGCCGTCCAGGCTCTGCTGGGGGCCGAGCTGCACGCGCTGTCGTCTGGCACCAAGCCCGTGTCCGGCTGGATGGCCCAGAGCTGCGTCCAAGAGTGCCGCGAGGCGTGCGGCGGACACGGCTACCTGGCAGGTCAGAGCTACAGGCCCCCTAGTGACAGGTCAGAGTTACAGGCTACGTGGCAGATCAGAGCTGCAGGCTAGCTGAACGTGAAGAGGCCCCCTGGCAGGTCAGAGTTACAGGCTAGCTGAACGTGAAAAGGCTACCTGGCAGGTCAGAGTCACAGGCTAGCTACCTGGCAGGTCAGAGTTACAGGCTACCTGGCAGGTCAGAGTTACAGGCTACCTGGCAGGTCAGGGTTACAGGCTAGCTGGCGAGCCAGATTTACAGGCTAGATACCTAGCGGGTCAGAGTTACATTGTATTTAGCAGGCTGCTCGTTCATTCGGCAGTAATCTGATCTTGAACTTCGATGAAAATAGGAGTGATGTTGTTTTCATTTTGAATTATCGCACCACTAGGTACGCTCTACAATGATTTCATTTTTATGACTATTGCATGGTCGGCTGCCCAGCTGCCACTTGTTTATACTGAATGGCTGGCCCGCTCCGGACCCAAGTCGTTTTTCTGACCAGCAGTCACCGGTTCCCGCCGCCAGCCGGCCGTCTGGGAGAGGTCCGTAATGACAACGACGCCAACCTGACGTACGAGGGCGACAACAACCTGCTGCTGCAGCAGCTGTCCAACTTTCTGCTGCGTGTGCGCGAGCTGCCGGTGGCCGAGACGCCGCTGCACTCTGCCGACTTCCTGCTGGGCCCGCCGGCCGCCGAGGACGGCCACAGCACGTGGCCCGAGCACGCGGACGTCGCCACAGTCGAGTGTGAGCCAACACAGTGGGAAGGGAGACGAGGTGGAACGGAGACCAGCTGATGTAGAAACCAAACGAGGGTGTTGCGCTGCCACCAATCACTGATAATGCTTAGACTGTGTGCCAGGGTATTGCCCTCGGGCCAACACCCGGGTATTATTCGGCTGTTGGTGAAGGTAATTGTAGTTGTCAACAATGGTGAAACCCAAACCTCCCCACCCAGTTGTGTAGCCCGCGCCCCCCCCCCATTCAGCTGTGTATCCCGTGTATCCAGCTGTGTACCCCATGTCCCCAGCTGTGTAGCCCGTGCCCCCAGCTGTGTACCCCATGTCCCCAGCTGTGTAGCCTGTGTATCCAGCTGTGTACCCCGTGTCCCCAGCTGTGTACCCTGTGTATCCAGCTGTGTACCCCGTGCCCCCAGCTGTGTACCCCGTGTATCCAGCTGTGTAGCCCGTGCCCCGCGTCCCCGCCGGCCGCGCGGTCTCACCGTGCCCCGATTCCGCCCGACAGTTGTGACGGCGGCGTTTGAGTGGCTGGTGCGCTACCTGCTGCGCACCAGCCGGACCCGGCTGGAGGAGCAGCCCGGGCCGCGGCGCGCGGCGCGACACCACGTGCAGGTGCACGGACTGAAACCGCTGGCCACCGCCTTCATAGAGGTGCGTACGGCCGCCGGAGACGGGGGCGACACACGGCGCCGGTCAGGCAGGGATGTACTCAGCGCCGGCAGGCTGGGCTGTACTCAGCGCCTGTTCTCAGCGCCGGCAGGCTGGGCTGTACTCAGCGCCGGCAGGCAGGGCTGTACTCAGCGCCGGCAGCGTCTGTACTCAGCGCCTGTTCTCAGCGCCGGCAGCGTCTGTACTCCGCGCCTGTTCTCAGCGCCGGCAGGGTCTGTACTCGGCGCCGGCAGCGCCTGTACTCAGCGCCGGCCAGGCAGGGATGTACTCAGCGCCGGCAGGGTCTGTACTCAGCGCCGGCAGGGTCTGTACTCAGCGCCGGCAGGGTCTGTACTCAGCGCCGGCAGGCTGGGCTGCACTCAGCGCCGGCAGCGCCTGTACTCAGCGCCGGCACGGTGGGGATGTGACCCGTAGGGACAGGGTGAAAATCATCAGCTCCTTAGAATTTGACCCTAGGAGCGCACATATATGGATGGCATTTGTGTAGGCGCTCTCATTGCTTGTCTGTCGTTAGATTGTTTTTAAGTTTCTTAGTATGGATGAATCACCAACTTTTACCCGATAATCTGTCTGTTTCCGACCAGCTATCAGTAAGTAACTAGTAAGTACCCTCAGGCGAAGGGCGGATTGCCGTCTCGGAGTGCCGAGTGCCGTTTCAGAGAAGTGTCTTGACGGCCGCGCTATATCGTGGCTCCCGCGTGTCCCTGTCTCCCGGAGCGGCCCCGCTCGCCGCCGAGCTGACGGAGACGTACTCTCCCGTGCGCCAGCTATTTGCCCTGCGGCGCTTCTCGGAGAAGGTGGCAGCGTCGCCGGACGAGCCGACCCGCCAGCTGCTGACGCGGCTGGCCGTGCTGTACGGCCTCTGGTCGCTGGAGACCCGATACGTCAGCTACCTGGCCGCAGGTGAGCCCGCGGCGCCACGCTCCTCCCCTCGGACACAGGTGGGCCCACGGTGCCACGCTCCTCCCCTCGGACACAGGTGAGCCCGCGGCGCCACGCTCCTCCCCTCGGACACAGGTGGGGTAGCGCGGACACGGCTCCTCCCCTTGGACACAGGTGTGTGTGTGTGGGGGGGGGGGGTCAATGCTATACCGTTGCCCGGTGTACCCCTGCCGAGTGTGTCAGTGCTATGCCGTTGCCCGGTGTACCCCTGCCGAGTGTGTCAGAGTTGTACCGCTGTCCGCTGGGTATGTGTCCGTGTTGTACTGCTGTACCCCCGCCAAGTGTGTCAGTGTTGTACCGCTGTTTCGTGTACCCAGCCTGCCGTGTCGGTCGCTCTGTGCTGTACCCAGCTTGCCGTGTCGGTCGCTCTGTGCTGTACCCCTGCCGTGTCGGTCGCTCTGTGCTGTACCCAGCCTGCCGTGTCGGTCGCTCTGTGCTGTACCCCTGCCGTGTCGGTCGCTCTGTGCTGTACCCCTGCCGTGTCGGTCGCTCTGTGCTGTACCCAGCCTGCCGTGTCGGTCGCTCTGTGCTGTACCCCTGCCGTGTCGGTCGCTCTGTGCTGTACCCCTGCCTTGTCGGTCGCTCTGTGCTGTACCCAGCCTGCCGTGTCGGTCGCTCTGTGCTGTACCCCTGCCGTGTCGGTCGCTCTGTGCTGTACCCAGCCTGCCGTGTCGGTCGCTCTGTGCTGTACCCCTGCCAGTGCCGTGTCGGTTGTACACCACTGCCGTTGCAGTGTTGTACCGCTGTCCGGTTTGCCGTGTCGCTGGTACTGAGTGTCGCGCCACTGGGGCAGGCTCCTACCTGTCGGGCGGCCAGGTGGGCGCGCTGCAGGCGGCCGTGCGCGCCCTGTGCGCCGCGCTGAGGCCCGACTTCATGCTGCTGGTGGACGTGATGGCGCCGCACGACTTCCTGCTGCGCTCCTGCCTGGGACACTCGGACGGAGAGGTGAGGGCGCCAACACCGGACCGTGCCACCGACACACTGTCACTGGCAGCAGGCACCGTTACCGACACAGACACAGTCAGCAGACACAGACACTGTCACCGACACGCTGTCACTGTTAGCGGGCACTGTGAGGAGAGTGCAGATACTGTCACACCGACACCGGCACAGACACTGTCACTGGACACTGACAGTCGACACTGTCACTGTCACCGACACACTGCCACTCTGCCACCGGACACCGACACTGCCACCGGTAATGACACTGCCACCGGTACTGACACTGTCAGCAGGCACTGTCACCGTTACCGACACACCGACACTGTCACTGTCACCGGACACCGACACTGTCAGCAAGCACTGACATTGTCAGCATACTGCCACTGTCACTGTCAGCAGGTACTGTCACTGTCACGGGGCACTGCCACTCTGTCACCGGACACTGACACGGTGTGTCGGTCGTGCCGTCAGATCTACCACCGGCTGTTCCAGTCGTTCGTCTCGACGCCGGCCTGTATGGAGCGGCCCGACTGGTGGCGGCTCTGCGGCCAGATGACCGGCCGGCTCTGAGGGCGGCCGGCCGGCGCTGGAGGAGGCGGGGAGTCCCCGTCCCCGCTCCCCACCCGGCTCTGAGGGCGACCGACCGGCGCTGGGGGAGGCGGGGAGTCCCCGTCCCCGCTCCCCACCCGGCTCTGAGGGACCGGCCGGCGCTGGGGGAGACGGGGAGTCCCCGTCCCCGCGAGTGGACACCCGGCGGCACCTGCAGCCACTCACGGCCGCCGGCTGCTACTCAGCGGCTGTCGAGTCGCCTCCTGCTGCAGCTGGGTCTTTCAGTCCCGGTTAGTGGCTGGGTGACGAAGAGTGTCGCCTGTAATGGGGTTATATCAGTGGTGCTCGTATCCAATATCCCAGTAGTGTGTCTTGTGGCGTTCCACGGCTTATTGGTCATTTCTGGCATTGGTCAGGTAAGTAGGTCGGCGGTCATTGATCATGAGTCTCGATGTGCACAGCTCTGTACTCACGAGCTTCCCGAATGCGTGGTTTTATCAGGTTAATGTTGATTGGTATATGCATCTATCTGACGACATTGGGTGACGCTGTGTCGGGTGCGCGACTTTAGGTGATCTGATAGCAAACATGGACATTGTGAACTGTATTGCTCTAAGTCGGTTTACTTAGTCTGATAGTCGCTTATACTGGGTAGTTGTTTAAACGGGGCTTAAATGACGTATTCTATGCGCAACTCCGCCCTGATATGCATCCATGATCCATCCGACATATGTGCGAGTCCAGGGGCCTGGGACCGTGACCCATGGCCCTTAATACAGCAGCAGGTTACTGTGCCCCCACTGGGACCGGTACCGGGCCCCCACGCCAGCCGGGTCCGTTACGACGCCACGTGGCATTGGGGTGGCAGTGCTGTTTTACACCCCGGGACAGTGCTGTTTTACACCCCGGGACAGTGCTGTGTTACACCCCGGGACAGTGCTGTGTTACACCCCGGGACAGTGCTGTGTTACACCCCGGGGCAGTGCTGTTTTACGTTTTACGTGGCGCGTGCCGAGCTCGGCTGCTCTGTGCCGAGCTCGGCTGCTCTGTGCCTAGTTCGGCTGCTCTGTAACGAGCTCTGCTGCTCTGTAGTACAACAGTGTCGTGTTGCCCGCCGCCGGGTCCCAGACGGTGCAGCGGGACCGGCAGTGCCGCGCCGCCCAAACGCGGGTCGGCCGGACTGCCGGTGATGCAACAGACTTCGCCCGGAGCACCATCTCTGGCCTCTCAGTTGGGCGCCTCCTTTGAGGCTGCTCAGCATTGAGAGGTCACATGGTGCGTCATACCGATGCAGAGCTGAACCCTCGTCCGCGAAAAATTGGATCCTAGATCCGAGCCTGCATACATAGAGATCTGAAGGATCCTAGATCCGTCACTGAACGCTGAATCAAATAACCTTTGCTACCTGGAAGCTTCAAGCCTCGTTTTAAACTCATTCACTGCATCTTGGATATCAGCAGCTGCCGGGTCCTGTTTGATATTTTAAGAGGTCTGGCCTTTCAGTACTGTAGGTTAACAATTTTGCTGTAGGATACCAGAGTTTATAGTTCCTCTGCCGGTTATAGCGTGAAAAAGACTGTACTTGACCCGCCTTCAAAGCCTGAGGCGCTTTGTCTGTGTGTGATTAGGTTCAGTCAGCTCAGGTACCTTGTGCTCGGCTCACTGTTCAACTGTTACGACAATATACACCGTTTACTGTTGTAGCGGTATCTGCAATACCTACTGTTTGGGTGGTTTCGCCTTCGGCTGCCGTCAGTTATTGTTATATACCTGGCTTTGGTAGTCAGTTATTGTTATATATCTGGCTTTGGTTCGTGTGCATTGTGCAATGTACCCATGTTCGCTCCAGGCGCTGGTATGTGCCGTTGTGCCAGGCGTGGTACATACGTGTTATTTTTAGTGTATGCCTCCGAGAGAGTTACGGGGGGACGTTCAGCATACCGCCAAAGGGCGCAATGTAGCGACGCTTTATTGGTGACATTGGTACGGGAAGCAATTAAAGGGCTGGCACTAAGTGGCTTTCGGGATATGCCGTTTATAGTGCCTTTGTACAATTTTATGAGGAATAAAAATACAGTCTGACTGAATTTTCATCGCCTTTGCCTCGCTGTCCGGCCGTCTTCTGTGACGGTGGTAATATGTCGTGGCTGTCTCAGGCTCCGAGCTGCCGGCCGCCAGCCGCCATAGCTGATATCACTGAGAGATGTTACGTGTCGCGGTCTCATTAGGGTACGTCAGTGTTGGGCGTCTCCGGCCAGTTGCCTGTGTTGGGACTAGGGCGGGGGCGTGCCAGCAGTGCTGTACCACAGTTGACACAGGACGGCGGACACGGTGGCTCGGGGAGCGCCGCCGACACTGAATAGACAGCGCTCCCTCGGCCCTGTGTTTGTGTTCCATCACATCTGGACCCGAGACCGTGGCTGGTGTGGACCTCAGCGGTCGTTTTAGGTGTCGCGTGTCTGGTCAATGGACGGTGATTATCATTTGGCTGCACAGTGACGCGGGTCCTCTTTAGGTGCCATAGGATAGGACCAAAGGTAGGCACATGGAGACAATTTAGTCATTTGCTTCTCTTCTCTGAATATATTTCTACTATTAAAAGTTAGCACAAAGGAGATTGCACCGATTTTGTTCCTTCGTTGCTGTAGCATACGACAACAAGCGAGCGAACCCCTTGGATAACGTCACAGAACTCTGATATGGGCACTAGGGTTGTTCAAAAAAACCGAATTTCGGAAAAGTATACGGGCTCATGGCTCGTGTGGTGAGGTATTCTTTTCTGAGTCCAACGATGCCCTTTTTTCCGAAAAATATTGACTGTTTCATGCTCCCCAAACGGCTTGAAGAGGACCATGTCACGCCCGGCGACCGGCCGGTGTCAATAAGGGCGAGAATTCGCCGCCGCGCGCGGGCGGAAGCGCCTTATCGGCACCGCGCGCCACGGCATCTATCGGGCGGCCGGCCGGCCGGTTGTGGGAGGGAATGCATGGTCTTCTTTCACATGATAGGGGTGCGCTAGCCCATATTGTCGGAGCGGGAAGTTTCAGTGCAGCATCGGTGCCTCTGCTGCGGTGTTATTTGTCGATTGTTAAAAATAAGCCAAACAGAACTATTAAAAGACTCGACGCAATTTCGGGTAATTCACCCGAAACATTCCGTTCACAGAATACAGTTGCCTCCTTAGCGTACCATATCGCTTTGTTTATTCCTCAAGCTGCAAGCTCGGAGCAATAAACAGCTCTTTGCACTGCTGTTGACAACATAGGTACATTGCATTTGGACGGTGCCTCGCAGCCCAAATATGCTGCTGCGCAACTGTATGCGAAAATTTATGAGAGATAGAAGGAGCTGGCAGTGTGCAAGCACAGAATATGGAGACCTCGCACAGTCATTGGCCCAAGTTTTGGGGCATGGGTCTGACCAGCATCGGCGTCACCAATGTCATGCAGTTTCGTTGAAGTGAAATGCTGAAGCAACAGGATTGATGTTTGTTTTACTTAGATTATCAGTTCGAAAGAAAATATAACATGTCTGGGAATGACAGGGTGGCCGCCCTGACAGTGTGACGAAGTGAGAAGTGAGTAGAGACAATAGCGGGAGTACACATATAAACCAATTGCGTCGCTCAATCCAGCAGCGGCACCGGCAGCCCGGCCATGCCCACCAGTGTCGTTCAAGACCCGAATCCAGAGCCGGCACAGAGCGCGGCTCTGCCCTGAGACGTGACACATATCCCCGGCGTGTCATGACGGACAGACTTATGCTTGACCTCGCCTGTTTGGCGAATGACGATGGCAATGTTTACTTTTCCTATTTCTGATTAGTTACGCATTGAACAGATATCTACGCAACAAATGTATCGTGCTAATCGCAACACAGCAACCTGGTTTTGTAGTAGGTGAAACAGACTATTGGAGATGTCTCGTATGGATGTGGCCATTAGAAGCCGCGGAAACAGGGCTGAGCCGAGCTCTCTTTGCCGGGTCTGAATACGAGTCTTCGTCGAAGTTGAACTGGACGCTGATCGCTTCTCGCCTCAACATGAGACTTGGAAATAGGTAAGGTTACTGTATACATTGTTGTATTTATACAGGCGAGGTAATAGTCTGTCCGTCGTGACGCGCCGGGGATATACATATGTCACGTCAGGGCAGAGCCGTGCTCTATGCCGGCTCTGGATTCGGATCTTGAACGGCATCTGTGGACATGGCCGAGTTGCTGGTGCCGCTGCTGCCCGAAGGGTTGGATTGAGGGGCGCTTGACTTGTATGTGTACTCCCGCTATTGACTCTACTAACGACCAACTCAGTCACAAATCAGGGCGGCCACCGCGTCATTTCCGGGCATGTCATCCTTTTTTGCACTGCAAATGTAGGTACCTGCTAAACGTAACGTCGATGTCGGGGTCACCATATTCTATCCTTGCACCTTGCCAGCTCCTGCTGTTCTTAGTAAACTTCCAATTTTCGCATACAGTTGGCAACAGCATATGTGGGCTGCAAGCCACCGTCACGTCTAAAAGCAATGTAAGTTGTCAACAGCAGTACATAGAGCTGTGCTGTTGCTCAGTTCGCTTCTTGACTAATGAACAAAGCGGTATGGTTCGTTGAGTGGCAGCTGCGCCCTGTTTCACGAGCGCTATTGTATTGCACAACCATGATCGATCCACATTCTCAAAGTGCGTGGCGATTACTGCTCGCTAGCAGCCTACGTGTCAAATTGGGTTTTCATGGAGATATCAGCAAACTCGGACGATGTAGTCAGCCTGTTGGCAGCGTGGTAGCAGCGGCCGCGAAACACCGCGCTGTATTCGAAACGAGATATTTCGAATGAACTATGTAGCCAGAGGCATTGAGTCTTTTCTTAGTTCTGTTTGGCCTATTTTCTGAACCATCGACACAGAACACCGCAGCAGAGATAACGATGCTGCACTGAAACTTCCCGCTCCGACAATATGGGCTAGCGCACCCCTATCATGTGAAAGAAGACCATTCATTCCCTCTAGAGGTGGCAAAAGATGAAAATTTTGGGAACCAGACTCGAACCAGACCCGGCTGGACATTTCTGGAACCAGTCGGACCCGGTCTTAGTTGGAGCCGGAACCAGTTGGACCCGTTCCCCAAAAGTCAATTAATACAAACTACTTGAAGGAATCATTAGTTGCATTGCATCATGTAAAACAGCCTATTTCCCACTGGGAATACTCATGAGCTACTGTGTGCAAAGAAACATTCACTTCATTCACTTCATATTTTGCAATAATATGTAGTGTGCAAGATGTATAGTTTATGGTAGGACCCGGTTGGACCCATCAGAAAATATCCAGGAACCGGTCTGGACCCATATGGGTCCAGACTGGTTCTTTGGACCGGGTCCTCGGGTCCACATTTTGCCACCTCTAATTCCCTCCCACCACCGGCCGGCCGGCCGGCCGCCCGGTAGATGACGTGGCGCGCGGTGCCGATAAGGCGCTTCCGCCCGCGCGCGGCGGCGAATTCTCGCCCTTATTGACACCGGCCGGTCGCCGGGCGTGACATGGTCCTCTTCAAGCCGTTTGGGGAGCATGAAGGAGTTAACATTTTTCGGAAAAAAGGGCATCGTTGGACTCAGAAAAGAATACCTCACCACACGAGCTATGAGCCCGTATACTTTTCCAAAATTCGGTTTTTTTGAACAGCCCTAATGGGCACTTCTTATAAAAACTCATCAGCGCAGTCCCTCGACGTTCGTCAAAATTACGGCCCCTAAACCTAACACAAAACATCAACAGCCTAGAAATATTTGTATGTTCAACATACTCATCTCAGTGGCGTGACTCTTGTGAAAAGACCCACCGAGTCTGAACCTACACCCACGCACTGGTCATGTGCAACATTCGATCGTGTCACAGACTCACAGTTCTGTCGCTGCAGCAACGCACTGAGGTCACTGCAGGGACCCATTGTAGTCACTGCGGACGGCACTGGAGCAGTGACACGCTGAAGCGACCCTTTCGTTCAGACGCCGCGCGCCGTCGTCAGTCGGCCACTGGGCGCTCTGACAGCCCGCGGTACCGGCACAGCCCCCGGTGGCGGGAGGGGCAGCCGCTCCGACAGCCCCGGTACCGGCACAGCCCCCCGGTGGCGGGAGGGGTAGACACTGGGACAGCCGCCGGTGGCGGGAGGGGTAGACACTGGGACAGCCCCCGGTGGCGGGAGGGTCAGCCGCTGGGACAGTCACTGAAGCAGTCACCAGGCCAGTCGCTGAGAGCCGCTGGGAGGGCAGACACTGGGCCGGCCGCGGGGCCAGCCGCTGGGCCGGGCGGCGCGCGGCAGCCGCTGCTCAGTCGCTCATGCCCAGGTGGAGCGCCTTTCGGATCACCTTCGGACCGTTCCAGTAGCCCCTGCAATAGTCGCCGGAGGTGACGCTGCTGAACTCATCTGGCGTGGTGAATCATGAGACGTGTGATCTAAAGGCTTTGACGCGTGGTACTTCAATACGATCCCCAGCTGAAGTCAACGTGGTCGAGTTTTACCGTCAGATAGGTTTGAGTTGACAAATATGCCAACAGACAATCAAATGCAATGAGTGCGCCTTCTCCCCCGAGCTATCGTTCTCGCCCTCATCAGGCAAAAAAAAAAAATATCAGGCTCTCAATGAGTCATTAAATGTAGCGGCACTCACTTGAGCATCAGCTGCCAGTAGAGGAAGGGCATCAGCTCCTTCTTCATGACGAAGGGCGCCCAGCGCTCCTTGCCCTGGTCGATGGGGAACGTCTCCAGCGGCACGCCGTCGAACTTGAACTCCGCCAGGATGCACTTGCTGTAGCCGGTGACGAGCGGACAGGAGGTGTAGCCGTCGTAGGAGGCCGTGCACTGGCCGCCCGACATCACCGACCACAGGTTCTTCCCCAGCACGCCGCACTCGGCCGCTGCGGGGGCAGAGCGGCCAGCGGGTCAGTAACGGTCAGCGGGTCAGTCCCGGTCAGCGGGGGCAGAGCGGCCAGCGGGTCAGTAACGGTCAGCGGGTCAGTCCCGGTCAGCGGGGGTCAACAGGGTCAGTCCCGGTCAGCGGGAGAGAGAAGAGCGGTCAGCGGGGTCAGTCCCGGTCGGCGGGTCAGTACCGGTCAGCGGGGGCAGTACCGATCAGCGGGGCCAACAGGGTCAGTACCGGTCACAACAGGGTCAGTCCCGGTCAGCGGGTCGGTCCCGGTCAGCGGGGGCAGTCCCGGTCAGCGGGAGAAGAGCGGTCAGCTGGGTCAGTACCGGTCAGCGGGGGTCAACAGGGTCAGTACCTACCGGTCAGCAGGGGTCAACCAGGTCAGTCCTGGTCAGCTACTTGATATGCATTTCTCGCGCTCATTGACCAAATTACGAACATGCGTCACTTTGCAAGGATGATGGCCTCTGGTTCGCAGTGCTTATCAATTTCCCCCAGCACTATCCGATTCCTTGAAACACTCGCTAGGTATTGTCACCCGCAGACCCGTACCCGGAGCCGCGGCTGCAGCGGTATCGCTCCCTTCCCAGTTCCCAGACCGGCGCGGTGACCCGTCGCCCGGGCCCGGCGCGGCGGTCGGCCGGCCCAGATATCGGCTCAGCTGCTGCCGAATCACGCGGCACGCGGCAGTCGGCGGCCAGGCCCCTGGCCGACCGGTCGGGGGCTGCTATCCTCAGCTCAGTGAGTCACTGGCTGCGGTCCGTGCCGTCGACGTTCTGCCAAAATCAATGTCAAGCGCCCAGATCGAACACCAATATCCTTTGTGAAATCCACTTTCCCGGCCGTTAGCGAATCATTTCCGTCCCACGTGTGACGTGACCAATGACCTTTTACACGGAGGTAGGTATGATATCAGACGACTGGAAATATGCCAAAGAGTCGCCCCTGATTCACAGCAGGGCCACGTAGTTAGTAGGGTCGCTGGCTCGGCAGGATCCCGTCATGTACCGACGCTCTGGGGCGTTACGTACCGCCGGTCCCGGTCCGGGGCGTTACGTACCGCCGGTCCCGGTCCGGGTTACGTACCGCCGGTCCGGCTCCGGGGCGTTAGGTATCTACGTTCCGGGCGTAGGGCCGCGTCACGTACCTACTGCGGCGGCCGTCTTGGAGGTGGGCACGCTGGAGCAGTCGCCGATGGCGAACACGTTCGGGTACCGGTTGTGCTGGAGGGTGTGTTTGTCCACGTCTACGTATCCGGCGGCGTCGGTCAGCGCCGGACACGCCTTCAGCACGTCCGGCGCCGACATGTTGGGCGTCACGTGCAGCAGCTCGTACTGCCGGAGAGAGAGAGATCTGGTCAGCAGCTCGTGCTGTCGGGGGGAGGGAGGGAGGAAGAGAGAGAGAGAGAGAGAGAGAGAGAGAGAGAGAGAGAGAGAGAGAGAGAGAGAGAGGGAGAGAGAAAGAGAGAGAGAGACGGGCTGATCGGCGGCTCGTGCTGCCGGAGAGGTCTGGTCAGCAGCTGGTACTGCCGGAGAGAGACGGCTGGTCAGCAGCTGGTACTGTCAGGAGACGGCTGGTCAGTGGTCAGAGGCTGACTGACTCTGGTCCGCTACTGGCGCTGCTCAGCTGGTGTGTGTCTGTGTGTGTGTGTGTGGGTGTGCGGACAGGACTGGCGGCGTCCTGTGGGCATCCTGCGGCGTCCTGTGGGCGTCCTGTGGTCGTCCTGCGGCGGTCCGCTAACCCAAATAATATCACTAATGGTACTGATCAGCCGGCCCGCCCGTCTTTACGACCGAGTCAACAGCCGCGCGGCGAGTTATGGCGCGATAGAACCGCCACTTACTACGCCATTGTTAGCTCAGCACTCTGCACAAACGGCATTACCAAGTGTGTGTCCATTCAATAAATTTGATCCGCAAACACGACACAGAGCACACAATCCATGATCGGTTGTAGGTCTGAACGGTTAGCGCCGCCCTGTGCGGGGGCCGTGCTCGGTGGCTGGGCTCACCTTGTCGATAAACTGGTGCTCGGGCCGGTCGAGGTCGACGAAGACGGCCTCGCGCGTGTCGGGCCGCACCTCGGTCAGGCAGCGCCGGTTGTTGACGACGATGCCGCGGTCCTCGACCACCTTCCACAGCGACTCGGCGTACTTCTTCACGCCGAACAGCACCGGCAGCGAGGTGTTGTAGATGAGCGTCGCCTTGTCGCGCTTCCCTGCCTGCCGTCAGACGAATTATCACCACACGTGCTGCCACACTGCACCGGCTGCACCCTGACTAATGATCACATAATGATCACATCTACAGGGCCATTAGTTTTCACTGGAATTCAGGCGGACGTTTGAACAACATGGAGACCAACTGACATATAAACGGCGGATTTTGCAGTTCCTCGAATACTGATAGATAACCGTCTCTACTAAGCTGCAATCTGATCCAATTGATTTATTTACAGGACAGAATTCACTTTTCTTTCGGCATTAGTTAAAACCGTTATCACAGGTGTACCTACCTATCAGTTATTACCTTGATATTTTCAGAGCAACAATTAGTTACATATCATTCACTCTAATTAGTACTTTTGATCCACGTGGTTGAACTGAAGTGTTATTTGTGAAATGTGAATGTTTTGTGCACGTGGTGCCTATTCTCCATCTGTCTGGTTGGCTCACCTTTCTCAGGTACTGATCGGCGATGTAGAGTATTTTCTGAGGCGCCCCGGGACATTTGATGGGCGTGTTGGGGAAGGTGAAGATTGCGTTGCCCTCTCTGAAGGCCTTCAGCTCCTCGAACGTCTTGGGCGCGTACTTGGGCGAGTAGTTGGAGCACACGCCGGGCGTGTCCAGCGCCTCCTTCAGACCCTTTATCTGTGACGGCGGGCCACCGTGGTCAGCTGAGGACAGCGCTCGTCTCAGGGTGTCACTTGCACACTTCGGCACTGACAAATTACCTACCTACGCAATCCGTGCGTCATCAATATGATCAGTGAAATTAGCACAGTGGATAACGGGCGATCCGTGTACGTACTGCACTAGCTGATAGGTATGTACACAGTTTCGACTAAAAGGGAAGTATTGGTCGAATAGACCACGCCAATCGGACGTTGTTTATCCGAGTCGGACCACCGTCATCTCTCTGAACTTTGACGGGGCAAAAAAAGCAGCTGCGATACGGTCGGTGGCCGCGCTGTGGTGCGATACGGATCACGTACGGATGCGGTCCGTACGGATTACGTACGGGCGCGCTCCGTCTGACGACTCACCGCGTCCCAGTTGATCTGGATGCCCATGGCGACCACCAGGTACTCGTAGGTGACCTCGTCGCCGGAGCTGGTGGTCACCTTGTTGGACTTTGGGTCAAACGCCACCTGCCGATAGCGCGGGCCGGAGGCTACTCAGTCACTGGCGGGGTGATGCAACGCCCCCGGCGGTGGCCGGTCGACCCCGGCTCAATGTACCGGCCGTGTAGGGATACTGCCGCCCCGTCACCCGCCGCCCCACGATACGCGGCACAGTTCACAGGTGTGTGCTGCCGCTGCGAGCCGTGGTACAGAGCCGTCGGTACGGCAGGCGAGAGGCCTGTCGCTCCCGAACCGCCCTGTGGGCCCGGTCAGTGGCGGCCGGAGCAGGCCGTGCCGCCCCTCCTGTGCCGCCCCCAGGCCTGGTTAGTGGCGCCGGGGGTCTGCCCCTCCTGTGCCGCCCCAGTCCCGGTTAGTGACGGGTTTGCCGTGCCGCCCTCCAGTGCCACCCCCAGGCCTGGTTAGTGGCGGCTGGGCGCGCCGTGCAGTGTGCTGGGTACACGGTATGACCGCTTCATAACGGCCCGGCCCGTCCCAGCGCGTCCCTTCGCCCGACAACAGGTAAACATTAGCTCAGATAGGCGCGCCGCCGCCCCCGATACCGCCGGCAGCAGCTGCCGTATCGATCATGTAATGTCAATGACCCACCGTGTCCCGGCCTACAACTAAACAACCACAAACATGGTATCAAAACTGTCTTCAGTCTGGCCGAAACAAAACGCATTTTGAAGCTCAAATATCAATATAACCTTATCTTGCAGCTCCTTGCCTTGAGCTCCCTCCGCAAAAGCTTCACTGACTTCTATACCCTCGCTAGCAGGGTTTGGTGTTTCTTTAATTTTTCAAATAAACAAACATAAACAAACTGTTCACGAACAAATGTGTTCGCGAACAAGTGACGTCATCAGTCAAATTTTGGTAAACAAACAACGAACAGTTCGCGAACGTTCATGAACTGTTCGAGAACACGGTAAAGAGGGGGTAGATAAGACCCCCTCTTTAGCCATTTCGCTCCTAATTGAGATAGAACCTTGCGGGAAAAGCCAGCGTGTGCGTCAGTACCTACGAACCACAGCGATTGGCATCCGATTTCAAGGTCTTACACCAACCGATGACCCCTGAGGTCAGGTCAAGTGTCACAAAGGAGGGGTTTGATTTTTGGTAAATAACTTCGCCACAAATAGTGGCAGAGCCGCGATTGTGGCACCATCGTGCTCGTCGTGGCCAGGCGCTTCGAATGATATACTTTTTGTTTGGATTAGGTCTTTTTAGGATGTTGACCTCAGGTCAAGGTTAGGTCAAAGCCCCTCGGGTCACAAAGCTCCATGAAGGATGTCATGCTGCATATCAATCGATTTGGCAGTTCTTTCCGAGTCAATTCAAGGCTCAACCGACTCGCTATCTGAATTTGATCGGAAGTTATGAGCGAAAAGCTCCTACTGCACCTAACAAACTTAGTGGCGTCTTATATGACGTCATGCAAGGCCTGAAATGCACAATTTAAGCTTCAGCGTTGCAAGAATAATTATGAATCACGATTCCCTGTGCTTGAGATATGACTGGTGCATTTTTCACATGTAAAACATGCCTGCAGTCATGTCTGCACAGTGCATGCCGTATGATAACAATTGCTCCAAAGATATCAGAAATGATGACTTGTTCATGAACGTTCATGAACGTTCACGAACTGTTCGTGAACAGAGAATCGTTGGTGAACATGTGACCTTGAATGCCAAAATTCGTAAACTATCAAATAAACAAACAAACAAACATTGTTCATGAACTGTTCATGAACAAATATACAAACACCAAACCCTGCTCGCTAGACCCTCCTGCCGGTATTATACGAGGGGGTATCGAAAAGTTCCAGGGCCTCCTCTAACATACCCACTGGGTGGGCAAATGCCCACCCAGTCACCACAATTGCCCACCCAGTGGCGTCGATTTGCCCACCCAGAAGCAAATGCAAAAATTCTGGTCCGGCCGGACGTCCGGTACTACCTTTCTGGTCTTAAGCAAACTGGAGGCTGTTTGAAGGTCAAAAAAAAAGTTTTCTGGTTGCCCGATATTCAGGGGCGTAGTCAGAATTTCCTCAAGGAGGGGCCAAACGCACAGAGGCCCAAAATAACCCCCTAAAAATCCAAAAAGCCATCTGGTTGGATCCAATATTTTTTTGGAGGGGGCCCAAATAAATAGAAAAATATTTATTAACAAAAAATATTAGAACTGAGGGGGTAAGCAGTCCATGGGCCCTGTTAGATAGGCCCACGAATAGCTTCATAGAGTCGCCAGTCGGTTTTGAGGGCGGTCTGAGGGCCCGTAGGTCGGATGAGGGTTCTTCAGACCGTCACAGGCCCCTACAGCGCATGAGAGCCTCGTAAGCCGTCTGAGGGTCATATAAGCCGCCTAAGGGCCACTAAGACCGACAAAAGCCCTCCTTGCACTTGCAGATGTCCAGTCATGCCGACGGAGGGCTCTCTCAGACAAACTAAGGACCCGTTCAGGGCATTTGAGGGCTTCCTCAAACCGATAGGGGCCCCTCAGATCGACAGTGGATCCGATCCGAGCTCCCTCAAACCGATATAGGGTCAGACCAACAGTCGGAACGCATTGATTCTGTTTACACACCGTTGGACCCAAGTTGGACCCATCCCATCCAACTGGCCCCCTGGTTTCAATAGGGCCCCAAGGCTCTAAAATTGGGGCTCTCTTGGCCAAAGTATAACTACTCAGCTGTGTCAAAGGATCTGCCGCAGGGGCCTTTGCGTCGCCAAGGGCCCACTGTGTCAGCCAGGGCCCCTATAGAATAAGGACCCCTGGCTTCCAGGGGGGGGGGGCATGATCCCTTTGGCCCCCTCCTTGGCTATGCCACTGCAGGTGACAAGCGTTCTTCCAGGCGACCAGGGGGCAGGGGCCAGGCGACCAGGCCCCCAGGCGACTAGCCCCCAAGCGACCGGGGCCCTCTAGGCGACCAGGGGCCCCAGGAAACCGGGGGTCATCGGATGAGTGCAGGGGCCCATTGGGTCATCAGAGGGCCACATAAATGAAACTTCGATATCAATTTTCTTCCGAGTAAAAGACGTTTTATCCAGTGTTTGAAAAAAAATATCCCGGGGCCTGAGGGGCTCCCCCATGGCGCGTTTTGCGCTCAAGGGAGGGGGCCACTGCCCCCGTGGCCCCTCCCCCTTGGCTACGCCCCTGCCGATATTGTTATTCATGGACAAAGCCAGCTAAATCTCTAAATACGGCTGAGCTAAACAAATAAGCAAGAATCATTACCGGTTCGGGTAGCCTTTACTACAATGTATTATGCTAGTTAGCCCTCGCCCGGTGAGGGGGGTTGATGCACCCCCCTAAGGTTTTTCACAAATAACGTAAAAACGGCGGCGCTCAAATTTAGCATACCCTCTGGGGCAACCTTTTGGCACTTGTCCTGAAAATTTCAGGTCTCTAGTCTTTTCAGGTCAGGTCACCAGGCCATAAACCCCGTACAAGGTCAGGGGAAAATTGGACTATGTAGTTTAGCGGCAACCGAATGCCAGAGTTTTTCGTTGATAGCGTGGGTTCTATAGCACGTAGCGCTACCAAATTTAACCCTCGCATGTGTAGGGGGGGTCGGATGGACCCCCCATGGTTTTTCGCGAATAACTCGCGTAAAAAGCAGCCGATCGCAATGAAACTTTCAGTACCCTCGCATTGATCAATTTTACACCTACCCTGAAAATCTCATGACCCTGACCCAAATGACCTTTGACCTGTGACCTCTTTTCCGAGACCATGTTTGGCCGGAATCGCGATTCCGCGTATGTCGGCTCGCATTAGCCGCGCGTTTGCAAGCTTTTCGTGGTTTCAAACGCTCAAACATATGATTTGATGTTGCTCCCATGCATAAGGGTGGGTGTCAAGGTCACCTGAAGGTCAGGTCAGGTCATTGACCTTTGGTGACCTCGGGTGACCTCGGTTCACTTTTTCGAGTTTTACATGTTTCTAGGCTAGTTTTTGGAGCTGAATTCGAATTTAGCAACCATTTGAACATTTACGAAGTAGTTTTGGTGCCTTCGTAACATGTTACGAAGCTGTCAGAGGCGGTTGACAGGTACTACGAACACCCGTCACAACCCCTACTGGTTGACCTGACCTGACCTGACCCGACCTGGTCTAAATGCTTAAAGACATCATCTGTGATCAAAACTAACACGATATTCGTGATCAGCACCCCGAAAAACCCCTTAGCAGCCACACTTTACGACTTTCTAATAGGTCCCGATTTTCCCGACTTTGGGTCATTGACCTGACCTGGAAGGTCAACCAATGACCTAGGACCTTAAAATTGGGTATCATCGGCTTCCTCTCGTCACGGGCAACACGCTCGTTTTTTCCTCGAAGCTCTAGCTTGATCAGGGGCCAAACGGCAAGGGGGGTCCAACCGACCCCCCTCCCCACTACACATTAGAAGCTGGCAAACGCCGCACACATGCGAGGGTTAAGACACGACTTGGAGCATCTGTTTGTCACTTGGCCTTGGAGTTTTAGGTTCTAGTGACCCGAGGCCAGGTCACAAGGTCACAAAAACTGGTACATTGTCAAAATAGCAAGAATACCGATTAAGAATACCTACCTACCACGCAGTTTGCGGAGGGCTGTACATGTAACTCTGGAACGAATCGCTCGAGCATCGCTAACCATAAAACATACGACAAAAGTTAACTTTGCAAACTATCATCTTATTTCCAATGACGGCACTGCTTATTTCGCCTCACCCCCGCCCCCCCCCCCCGCGGTAACAGGTTTTGAAATTGGTTGAACCTCAAAATAGTGGCTGGATTCGCCCTTGGGCAGGGGAGTAGCGAAAATTCTGCCCACCCAGTGAAAAATCCTTAGAGGAGGCCCTGAAAAGTTCTGATCATCACCATGAATTAGATGTGATACAAATTTGATTTTTTTACATGATGTTCATTACTTCTTCACAAGTCACCACACACGACCGCAAACTTTTATTGCATCGTTTCTTGAACTGCCTCAGGCGGTCATTGTAGAACCTTCGCACTGTCCCGTAAATCACTGCTTCACCTCATCAATGACGTCATTTCTGTCCTTCAATCACCGGCCATACTGTGGATTCTTCATCTCCCGTAACAATCAAGAGTCAGTTAATACCCGGTCAGGTGAATTTGTTAGATGCGGTAGGATTTAATGTCCACATCATGTTGTTTCTTCAATCGCAGCTCAGGACGAATGGGTGGGGGCACTGTCCGTGAGGATAAAACATCTTTCTTGGGCTTTTTTTGCGGCGATTCTGCTTGAGGCCATCTCGCAATTTCTTCAAAAGTGTGCAGTAGCGCATGCTTATCATTATCCGACCATTATCAAGACAGTCGGTAATGACTATCCTACGCCAGATCCAGAACACTGAGAGCATTGACTTTCCATATCGGCTTCTGCATCTTCGCCTTTTAAGAAGGGCAGATGTGCCGTGCTTAAACTTCTAGATCATCTTTTTGTCTCTGAATCATACACATAAACCCAGCATTCGTCACAAGTCATCAAATGATCAAGGATGTCTTCAATTTCCTAAAAAAAGGCCTAGTTTTCGTTTCGAAAGGCCAAGACGAATTTTTCTCTCGAACAAAGTAGACACACGAACTTCTAAGCGGGCTGACTCCTTTATCGTCTGTAGTTCTTCGCTGATAATATTTTCAGACACTGCCAGCATTGAGACCTTTCTGTTGCACAATCATCTGAAAGGCCACACGACGATCTGTAAGGATGAGGTCCTCCACTTCCTTCACAGTCACCACCTTGTCAATCACTGGTAGTCATTCACTTCTTGACTCCCTTGCAAAGGCTATGCAACCAAGTTGAAAATTATTTCTTCATTTTCGGTAAGTGCATGAGATGGGCTTTCTTCGCCATAAACTAAGTTCACGTTCTTGATGTATTTTATCAGTGTGATACCGTTTCAAATGCATTAGTTGGATGACGGTTCGGTCCTCAGTGGGCCCAATGCTCATCTTTTTTACTTCTAAGTCTCTCCTACATAAGATAAAACCACTTCTCAGGATTTTCTTTGCGGGAACATTGTTCTTGAGAACCAAATATAATGCCTACCAAAAATCATCAAAATCGGTCTATATCTTCTATGTGATGATCAGAACTTTTCGATACCCCCTCGTACTCCTCGGTGAACCGACACGTACCACCCCGCACTGGACCCTGCCCCCGCCGCCCGCCCCGGACTCTTGTTATATAACGCCCTGCCGCCCCTGCCCTGACCCCCGGACTGGCCCCTGTATTAGAGCCGTCGTTCTGCCGCCGTCAGTCCGCGGCCGGCCAGCCCGAGCCCTGATCGGCGGCCGGCTAGTACTCTTGCCGGCGCTCACATACGTGCACGTTACCCCGGCAACGGGCTATTGACCAATGAGAAGCGAGAAAAGTGTTACGTCACTGCGATTTTTCATATACCTGTGCCCCCCGGACGTGACGTAGTGTGCTCGCGCGCGTGCAGGGTCTCTGCGATCGAAAAAGAGCGCTAGCAGCGCGCCACTCGACGCCGCAATTGTCAAAAGCGGCGTGTTAGTATGGTTTATTATGAATGATGTGCGTAAATGTGAGTTTTTATGTTGTTAATTTGGAGGAAATGGTTGGAATAAAATAAGTTATTTTTATTTCTATTGGTTAGAGTTTTTATTCAAAAGATTTCGGTCTATAGCATTGATATTTACTGAAAATACCTTCGTTTGAATAAACTGCGGATATTTGGCAACTGAAGTGTTAGGTAAGCCTAAATGATACGTAAAAAGGTAAGAGACACCCTGATTATCATTTGAGGAACGAAAATATATGAATTTCCCTTATAAGACTCGCTCAATATGCTACTCCGTGGTTTATGCCCCGAGGGTGTCCGAGGGTTCCCGTTAGTTTGTCGTTGGCGCTCGGCTCGCGCGCGAGCCGACGTCATCGCCCGTGACGTCGGCTCGCGGAATGCGTCATACCCTGCACACAAAATAGCCGGCTGCCGAACAGCGCTCCGACCCGGCGCGTCCTACCGCTCTCTCCCGGATCCAGTCGGCCTGGGCGGGCAGCACGTCCTTCATGGGCCGCGCCGACTGCTCCACCGTCTTCATCCCGCCGCCGACCATCGTCCACATGGGCTGGTAGTAGTGCTTCTGTAACGGGGGGGAACGGTCCGTCAGTGCGTGGCCCAGGGACGGTCTGACCGAGCCACACCGGCAGACAGCGGACGGTGGATGTGCCTGGCGCCCGCAGGGGACACGCCTGTGGGCGGCGGTCAGGTGACGCCGCTCGGCGAGGGTAGGGACCAGGTCTCGACTTTTAACACGCCAGACGCCGTGTAAACATGGACAGAGGCACAGAGCCATCTGTTTTCCGATGCCACCGCCACCCTCTCTATCGCCATCCCATCCCTCGCCACTCCCGTCCCGGCGCAGACCGCAGCTCGGCAGCGGGCCGAGTCCACGCTGCTTCAACAGCCCCACCGCGGCACGGACTGCCGGCAGTGGGTCCGTGACCGTACTCCGTACCTACTGGCTTACTGGCACACTGCCACAGCCCCACCGCGGCACGGGCTGCCGGCAGCGGGTCCGTACCTACTGCTACAGCCCCACCACGGCACAGACTGCCCGTAAGAGTCCGTACCTACTGCCACAGCCCCACCGCGGCACGGACTGCGTACAGTGGGTCCTTACTCCGTGCCTACCAGGGCTACTGGTAGGTACGGACTACGGAGTATGGCAGTCCGTACTCCCACCGCAGCACGGAGTACGGACTGCCGAGTGCCCACAGTGAGGTCGCGCGCCGCAAACGCCCGACTGCCCCCCCCCCCCAAAAAAAAATAAATGTAACGGAAGTTAGCAGGGATTCAGCAGGGGTTCAGCAGGGATTCAGCAGGGATCGACGGCCCCTACGATTTCGCTGAATTTTGGTGGAGAGGTGCAGAATGGTGTCCTCTATCGAAAATCCTAGTGCCAAAATGCGGGGAATCCATCAGGGGGGCCACAAATCCCAAAAAACAGTATGCCCTCGGGGCACAATCGACGAACTTTGAAAACCCTACTTCTAGCCGTCAAAACAGCTAAAAATGCACGTCATTCGAAAGAGGACAAAATTTTACGTACAACGGTACCAAATTTAGGGGGCTAGCGCCCCCCTGAACCGAACAAAACAGCTTCAAATATATGGGCCCGGGAGTATGCCCTCGGGGCATAAATAAATGTTTTCAACAATTTCAGGCCTATAACATCGACGAAATCCAGCAATATGCACATCATTGGAAAGAGCGTAATTTCCCAAACAAAAAACCCAAGTAACATTTTTCGATGGGGCCCACCTGCGGCCCACAGGACCCAATTGAAATTTGGGGCCCAATGGGGCGACCCCTACGATTTTCTTCAAAATTGGCACAGACACTCTCCTGGGCCCCCTCTTTAATCCGGCTGAAGAAACCTACCGGGGAATCCAAAGGAAGGGGCCCAAAGAGGGCCCCAAAGAGGCCCTTTCTAAGTATTGCCCCTAATTTCGCGACCAACCCCGGCAATATGCACATCATTGGAAAGACCGTAATTTCCCAAACAAAAAACCCAAGTAACATTTTTCGATGGGGCCCACCTGGGGCCCACAGGACCCAATTGAAATTTGGGGCCCAATGGGGCGGCCCCTACGATTTTCTTCAAAATTGGCACAGACACTCTCCTGGGCCCCCTCTTCAATCTGGCTGAAGAAACCTACCGGGGAATCCAAAGGAAGGGGCCCAAAGAGGGCCCCAAAGAGGCCCTTTCTAAGTATTGCCCCTAATTTCGCGACCAACCCCGGCAATATGCACATCATTGGAAAGAGCGTAATTTCCCAAACAAAAAACCCAAGTAACATTTTTCGATGGGGCCCACCTGGGGCCCACAGGACCCAATTGAAATTTGGGGCCCAATAGGGCGGCCCCTACGATTTTCTTCAAAATTGGCACAGACACTCTCCTGGGCCCCCTCTTTAATCTGGCTGAAGAAACCTACCGGGGAATCCAAAGGAAGGGGCCCAAAGAGGGCCCCAAAGAGGCCCTTTCTAAGTATTGCCCATAATTTCGCGACCAACCCCGGCAATATGCACATCATTGGAAAGAGCGTAATTTCCCAAAAAAAACCCAAGTAACATTTTTCGATGGGGCCCACCTGGGGCCCACAGGACCCAATTGAAATTTGGGGACCAATGGGGCGGCCCCTACGATTTTCTTCAAAATTGGCACAGACACTCTCCTGGGCCCCCTCTTTAATCTGGCTGAAGAAACCTACCGGGGAATCCAAAGGAAGGGGCCCAAAGAGGGCCCCAAAGAGGCCCTTTCTAAGTATTGCCCCTAATTTCGCGACCAACCCCGGCAATATGCACATCATTGGAAAGAGCATAATTTCCCAAACAAAAAACCCAAGTAACATTTTTCGATGGGGCCCACCTGGGGCCCACAGGACCCAATTGAAATTTGGGGCCCGATGGGGCGGCCCCTACGATTTTCTTCAAAATTGGCACAGACACTCTCCTGGGCCCCCTCTTTAATCCGGCTGAAGAAACCTACCGGGGAATCCAATTTGGGGCCTCTTTGGGGCCCAAAGAGGGCCCCAAAGAGGCCCTTTCTAAGTATTGCCCCTAATTTCGCGACCAACCCCGGCAATATGCACATCATTGGAAAGAGCGTAATTTCCCAAACAAAAAACCCAAGTAACATTTTAATTGCTATATGCAATTTTTAATTGCAATATGCGAAATTAGGGGCAATACTTAGAAAGGGCCTCTTTGGGGCCCTCTTTGGGCCCCTTCCTTTGGATTCCCCGGTAGGTTTCTTCAGCCAGATTGAAGAGGGGGCCCAGGAGAGTGTCTGTGCCAATTTTGAAGAAAATCGTAGGGGCCGCCCCATTGGGCCCCAAATTTCAATTGGGTCCTGTGGGCCCCAGGTGGGCCCCATCGAAAAATGTTACTTGGTTTTTTGTTTGGGAAATTACGCTCTTTCCAATGATGTGCATATTGCCGGGGTTGGTCGCGAAATTATGGGCAATACTTAGAAAGGGCCTCTTTGGGGCCCTCTTTGGGCCCCTTCCTTTGGATTCCCCGGTAGGTTTCTTCAGCCAGATTGAAGAGGGGGCCCAGGAGAGTGTCTGTGCCAATTTTGAAGAAAATCGTAGGGGCCGCCCCATTGGGCCCCAAATTTCAATTGGGTCCTGTGGGCCCCAGGTGGGCCCCATCGAAAAATGTTACTTGGGTTTTTTGTTTGGGAAATTACGCTCTTTCCAATGATGTGCATATTGCCGGGGTTGGTCGCGAAATTAGGGGCAATACTTAGAAAGGGCCTCTTTGGGGCCCTCTTTGGGCCCCTTCCTTTGGATTCCCCGGTAGGTTTCTTCAGCCAGATTGAAGAGGGGGCTCAGGAGAGTGTCTGTGCCAATTTTGAAGAAAATCGTAGGGGCCGCCCCATTGGGCCCCAAATTTCAATTGGGTCCTGTGGGCCCCAGGTGGGCCCCATCGAAAAATGTTACTTGGGTTTTTTGTTTGGGAAATTACGTTCTTTCCAATGATGTGCATATTGCCGGGGTTGGTCGCGAAATTAGGGGCAATACTTAGAAAGGGCCTCTTTGGGGCCCTCTTTGGGCCCCTTCCTTTGGATTCCCCGGTAGGTTTCTTCAGCCAGATTGAAGAGGGGGCCCAGGAGAGTGTCTGTGCCAATTTTGAAGAAAATCGTAGGGGCCGCCCCATTGGGCCCCAAATTTCAATTGGGTCCTGTGGGCCCCAGGTGGGCTCCATCGAAAAATGTTACTTGGGTTTTTTGTTTGGGAAATTACGCTCTTTCCAATGATGTGCATATTGCCGGGGTTGGTCGCGAAAATAGGGGCAATACTTAGAAAGGGCCTCTTTGGGGCCCTCTTTGGGCCCCTTCCTTTGGATTCCCCGGTAGGTTTCTTCAGCCAGATTGAAGAGGGGGCCCAGGAGAGTGTCTGTGCCAATTTTGAAGAAAATCGTAGGGGCCGCCCCATTGGGCCCCAAATTTCAATTGGGTCCTGTGGGCCCCAGGTGGGCCCCATCGAAAAATGTTACTTGGGTTTTTTGTTTGGGAAATTACGCTCTTTCCAATGATGTGCATATTGCCGGGGTTGGTCGCGAAATTAGGGGCAATTCTTAGAAAGGGCCTCTTTGGGGCCCTCTTTGGGCCCCTTCCTTTGGATTCCCCGGTAGGTTTCTTCAGCCAGATTAAAGAGGGGGCCCAGGAGAGTGTCTGTGCCAATTTTGAAGAAAATCGTAGGGGCCGCCCCATTGGGCCCCAAATTTCAATTGGGTCCTGTGGGCCCCAGGTGGGCCCCATCGAAAAATGTTACTTGGGTTTTTTGTTTGGGAAATTACGTTCTTTCCAATGATGTGCATATTGCCGGGGTTGGTCGCGAAATTAGGGGTAATACTTAGAAAGGGCCTCTTTGGGGCCCTCTTTGGGCCCCTTCCTTTGGATTCCCCGGTAGGTTTCTTCAGCCAGATTGAAGAGGGGGCCCAGGAGAGTGTCTGTGCCAATTTTGAAGAAAATCGTAGGGGCCGCCCCATTGGGCCCCAAATTTCAATTGGGTCCTGTGGGCCCCAGGTGGGCTCCATCGAAAAATGTTACTTGGGTTTTTTGTTTGGGAAATTACGCTCTTTCCAATGATGTGCATATTGCCGGGGTTGGTCGCGAAAATAGGGGCAATACTTAGAAAGGGCCTCTTTGGGGCCCTCTTTGGGCCCCTTCCTTTGGATTCCCCGGTAGGTTTCTTCAGCCAGATTGAAGAGGGGGCCCAGGAGAGTGTCTGTGCCAATTTTGAAGAAAATCGTAGGGGCCGCCCCATTGGGCCCCAAATTTCAATTGGGTCCTGTGGGCCCCAGGTGGGCCCCATCGAAAAATGTTACTTGGGTTTTTTGTTTGGGAAATTACGGTCTTTCCAATGATGTGCATATTGCCGGGGTTGGTCGCGAAATTAGGGGCAATTCTTAGAAAGGGCCTCTTTGGGGCCCTCTTTGGGCCCCTTCCTTTGGATTCCCCGGTAGGTTTCTTCAGCCAGATTAAAGAGGGGGCCCAGGAGAGTGTCTGTGCCAATTTTGAAGAAAATCGTAGGGGCCGCCCCATTGGGCCCCAAATTTCAATTGGGTCCTG